GAACCTAAGGGCAGCTACTCCAGCCCAAACTCTGCAGGGATGACCAAGGAGTCAGGAGACCCGAGGCTGCAGGAGTTTCTCCCGGAGGACCTTCCTCTACCTGTTCCTTCTCCCAAGGGACCAGCCTCCTGTAGCGTGACATGGGCAGAGGCGTGTGAGTGCCGTGGCCGGGCAAGCTGTACCAGGCCGGGCAAGCTGTACCGGGCCGGGGGTGGCCCATGCGGAGGGGCTGCATCTGTGCCTGCACCGGGAATTCACTGCGGGGTGTTTATCCCTTCGACCTTCTCCTTGGTTGTATTGTTTGGTTGATGTGGAGGCTGAGAGAGCCAGGGCACGCAAATAGTCCAGGGTGGGCAGAGCAAGGCCCAGCGTGGAGGCTGGGCTGCAGGCGATGGCTTCCCTGACTCGGGGCTCTGGTCCTCGAGCCAGCACAGAGGCCGCTCCCGTGGGATGGCTCTGGTCTGGGCTGTGCTGCTCCTCCGCTCTGCGGTGCCAGGCCCCAGGTCTCAGTGCCCACCCCGCCATCTGTGGCGTCTGATCTTTCTCTTGAAGTGTCTCCAAGGGCGATGTTTGCCAAGGCCACCTCACAAACACCTCCTGGCCACACGGGCATTCTACACGGTGACAAGTCATTCCATTAGTCACACGCACTTCTTTTCTAAGCAAAAAAAAGAGAACATTTTGACAACACGAACCTCCTGTTTGACCTCCGGTGGAATATTTGCATGCAGAGCAGGTGTGCGTGGCATGTCTGGGGCCATTGATGACCTGTGCAAAGCCCCGGGGGTCCTCCCGAGAGGCCTCAGGTTCCTTCTGGGGCAGGAGGAGCCCGGGGTTCTGAGCAGAAGCGTTCTCAGTCTCTTCCTCTACTCCAGTCACAGTGCCTCCATTTCCCACCAAGGGCTCAGATGCCACACTGTTCCCCTGAGTACCATGCCCATCAGCATGCCAGATGCACAGTCTCCCTGTTGCCTTAGAAATGTCCCATGGAGCAGGTGCTCAGGTCCCTGCTGCCTCCTGCAGTCACCCCTGGAGGGTCCCTAGTTCCCCACTCACATCCATGACCACACGACCACCCATAAAGGACAGTACTCACCTACAGAATATGCTGGTGCCCAGGGCAAGTGACATACACTGCCAAAGGCAGTCATCATGATCCTTTGAGATAGAGGCTGTGCTAGAAAAGAGAAAGCTTGTTGAGAAAGAGAGCCTACATTTTCATTATGCACTGGGCTCGCCCATTAGACAGTTGCCCCTGAACTTGATGGTGGATCTGCGTTTCTGTGAACAGCTGTCTTTGCAGAGGAGTTTGTGTAGCCACATTTCCTAACTCCACTCTCTAAGAGGGGAAGGAAGAAGAATGAGGTATTTGCTTTCTAGGGCTGAGTAGGAGTGGATTGGACTCAGGAAGTACAAGGGGCGGTCCCCAAGGAGATCTACCGGCCAGATAATGCATATGGGCAAATGATGCATGCATGCCAGATGTTTACTGAATGCTTGCTACGTTGTGAGCACTGTGCTAAGTTCTGGTATGAAAATGAGTCTGCGAAAGCAAGAAATGTTCACCTGACAGGGAGCAGACTCTGCCTCAGAGCTCCCAGAAGACAGGAGAAGCATCAACAGCGGGCCCCTCATGGCTGGAGTTGAAGGAGAAGAAGAGGAGGCTGTTCAGAACTCCTCAGGGGAGGCCATGGGGAGAGACACAGCAAAGAAACCCCATCCTCAGCTTGCGCAGGGATTGGCGCTGGTTGAATGATGGGCGGTGAGTCACAGAAAGGAGCCAGGGAGCCCGACATTTTCAGATGATCGCAGAGAAGGCTTGCGAATAGGTCTTCAGGGGAGTGTGCTAGGAAAAGGAAACAGTGGGAAATGACCAAGGCCTTCAGTGTGAAGAGGGTGGCTGACAAGCCCAGTGTCTGACAGCATGATACTCTGCACCATGAAAAAGTGGTCTGTCCAGATGAGAGAGGAAATCCAACTCATGGTGTTATTCAAAAACCAATTCTAGCCAGGCGTGGTGGCTCATGCCTGTAATCCTAGCTATGCAGGAGGCTGAAATCTGACGGAAAGAAAAGTCTGAGATTCTTATCTCCAATTAGCCACCAAAAAGCTGGATTGAAGCTGTGTTTCAAGTGGTAAAGAGCTAGCCTGAGTGAAAAGCTCAGGGACAGTGCCCAGAAACTGAGTTCAACCCTCGTATAGACAGACAGACAGACACACACACACACACAATTTTAATATAATACAAAGTGTTTGAGAGATAGGTGTACATAAAAAAATATATATATATATATACCTGGATAATATAGGTATGTTCCAAGGCAGCTTTATGCTCGTACAGACTGACAAAGGAGGAGACATACATTGTTAGCAGTGGTTATATGATGCTAGTATTGTGGCAGGAGGAACAGGGAACTTGACCTGTCTTTCTTGACTGTAGGCATCTCTATTCCTCAAACTAAAAACCAATGTGAAAAAGTAGAGTGAGAACCCAAGGAGAGAGACCGCTTTTCTGGAAGTGAGTTTTGGGGGGACGGAGGGAAGGGAGGGCTTTGGGAAGTATTTTACAGAGGACTTGTGAGCCTCAGCCCCTTTGGATCAGCACCCTAATTATATATGAATTGTTCTCTTCCAGCCCGTCAAGCTTATCTTCTTAGCTATACTGTTCTTTGTCTCCAGGAAACGTCAGGGCCTAATTGCCGGTATCTGTTTCATACTGAAAGAATTAGTGCGTGCTCTGGGCAGAGGGCTGCAGTGGCTAGGACCAATGAGGAAGGCCTCACCAATCTCTGATGGAGGCCAGCATCGTGATTAACGTGCCCTTTGCTTCTCAGCATCTCCTGGAATCCCCCGAGAAGGTTTTGCCTGGTACCCTAATACCAGTGGAATGCACAAGCTAAGGACTTGGGCCACGTCTCCAGATGGAGGAGAGAGCAAGGGGCATCTTGGCCTCTTCCTACTTGGCAATTAGCTGGGAGGGAAGGTGACAGGGACGATCGCAGGCCTTCCACCTCAGGACCTTTGAGTAAACCAGATGTCCAGGCCCAGAGAAGGCCTGGGTACCAGGAGCCACGGGCTTGGAGTGCAATGTGTAGAGATCACTGCGGTTACTCAACAGAGCATGCTTCCTGTGCCTTCAGTGGAGCTTTTGCTTTGACTAACAAACGGAAGGAATGTTTTTCTCTCCCTTCAAAGCAGAAGAGAGAACAAGGTCAGAAATGAGTTACTGAAGGCCCCTCTGTGCTGGGGGAAGGAAAGAGGGATTTCAAAGGACCTGTAACTGTAGGTGACCAGCAAGGCACCCAGGAGAGCTGACAGAGGAGCGTGGCCAGAGTGGAGGAAGGCCAGGGTTTGTTCTGTTTTCAGTGTGTAGACTGTCCCTGCATTCAATAGGTACTTGTTGAATAATAAGTACTTGTTGAGAGATACATAGATGAATGCATAGGTACACAGACTGTGTGTGGGGTGCTGGTCAGCACCTGTCTATATCATTTCCTTATGTCTTGTTTGTGCCTGAACTAGTGTTTGAACTCAGGTCCTAGACGCTGTCACTTAGCACTTTTGCTCAAGGCTGGTACTCTACCACGTGAGTTGTAGGTCCACTTCTAGGTTCTTTATTTTTCCCTAGGAAACTATAATCCTCAGATCTCAGCCTCCTGAGTTGCTAGAATTACAGGTGTGAGCCACCGGCGTCCAGCAGCGTTTCTCCAACGTTAGCCCTTTAAGCCGGCATTATAGGGAGCTGAGGAGCGGGCTGGGCACAGGGAAAGAAGAACTGGCCCAGACGGGGCTGGGACTGGCCGGTGCTTCTCCCTGGTCAACCTGAAAGCCCGGGCAGTGCCTTTGGAGTGTGGGCTCTGTGGAGCTTGTGTCGAGTCCAGGGAAGGCTGCAGCTCCCAGAGCAGTGTTTGGCGTGCAGAAGGAAGGAGTATTGCCAGGTGTAAGGCTTTGTCCCCCTTTCTGGGACAAACTCACTCTGTTGTAAGACTGAGAAAGCACCACACACTCATTTCAGTGTTCGAGGAAACAGATTCCAGGCGCACAAGGAAACTCCGTATAATTCAGGAGCTTCCCTCTCCTCTCCTGTGTCCAGCTCTGGAGGCAGAAGCAAGCTGTAACCCAATCCCCGCGGCTGATTCCAGGGCAGACTTGGAAACGCACGTGCTGAGCTGTGTTCTAAACCATCCTCCTCGCGCTCCACCCCGCAGACGGGACGGCTGTGCCTGGCCGCCACTGGGCGCCTTCACCTCGACTGCGGGAGCCCTTCACGGTTAGTCACATTTGCTTGTAAAACAGAGGTGCAGCGAAGTGCACGGCCCTCCCCAAAGTCGGCGAGCTGGCAGGCTGGATAAGTGATGATGACGCTGTCTCCTTGCAGAAGGTTCCAGGGCTTTAAATCTTGTATGGACCAATGGATGGGGCCCAGTCCCAAGCTCCTGAGAGTCCCCGGCCACATGGACATGTCAGACTCTTGGTCTTTGGTAGTAGATTTCCAACCCAATGGTTGTTTTTATTCTTATAGCCCATTGGTCTTTCTCCAGCTAGTCATGTGATTAGCTCATTTCTGCCTCCCCCCGCCCTGTTAGGGTTAGCATGGGCTCAGGGGGCAGGGAACCAACCTTCCTTCCTTCCTTCCTTCCCTCCCTCCCTCCCTCCCTCCCTTCTTTCTTTCTTTCTTTCTTTCTTTCTTTCTTTCTTTCTTTCTTTCTTTCTTTCTTTCTTTCTTTCTTTCTTTCTTTCTTTCTTTCCTTTTAAAATCTCATCACAGAAACTGAAACAGACCTATAAAGAATGGACTGGAGCTCAGGTGCCTTCTTAGGGGATCTGTGGCTTCAGGCACCATGTGTGCGTATGCACATATGTGAACACGTGTGAGACAGGAAGTGCTACCCCCAGAATCAGCCAGCGGCGGGTTTTGTAGTGGCAGTGGTGGGAAGGACTTACGGCAGGAAGCACTTGTGGCAGGAAACACTTGCTCTGCACACTGATTGTGAGCAGATTGCTCCACCGCCCCATTCCATGACCGTGTGAGTGCTGCTCAGAGAGGCCCGGGGCTGCCGAAGAGCACATGTGGTAAGGAGGGAGCTGCTGTGATGGAGGAAGCAGACCTCCAGGGCCAGGGCCCTACAAGGTGCTCAACATGCCTGGACGGATGAAGGGGTACAGCTAGTGACCGGGTACTGGGCTGGGTGAGCTGCTGATGGCGATGGCTTTAAGGTGAGCTGTGTACCAGAGTCTGGAGATGGAGACTGGGTTTGGACCTGGAGCCTTCCCATAGAGCAGGGACAAAGCTTCTTCTTCCTTGGCTGTATCCATGCACTACTAGTCTAGCCAAGTCCACATCGGCTCCAAGTCTTGGCTTCCATCCCCGAGGGATTCACCACTGAAGGTGGTGGGTGGGAACATGGAGGGGTAGGGGGTGGCTGGCTGGGAGGGGCCCAGGGGTACCTGGGAGGAGGAAGTGGAGTCTCTTCCTGCACCCCATTTTCAGCTCGCCTTTTATAAACCAGAATAGGAGCAATAAAAATGAAAAGTTACGCAGAACAACAAAAGAGGAGCTATCACCGAGGCAGAGGGAATATTGGCAAAGTAAGAATTGAAATCAGGAAAGCTTTCAATAATCCATGCTGATCTGGAATCAGTGCTTGGAAGCCTTTTGTGCCTCCAGCTACAACGCAGGCCAGGAGGAGGGGAGTGAGGCACAGGCGGTGTGCTCATCTTCGGCTCTGTTGTGCATGATTTCCACAGGCCCTGGGCTTCTTGTACACCTGGCCCTCCTCCCCACAGCTCTCTGTGGCTTGCCCGGCCCTCGGGGTTCTTGATCCTTGAATGTAGAACTGCTGTCCCAGTGGAGACTGCTTTGATTCATGGTTGAGATGTTGTTGGAAATGAAGCCCCCTGTGACAGTCTTAGTGGGTGGGGATGAACCCCTGGGGTTTTCGGTTATGGGTGGGATAGTGTCTGATGAGAGGGCTGGAGGGCATTTGCAAGGCCCACCATGTTGACCTGGCCCTTTCTACGCTGTGATGACACACCATTCAAGACATCACCCTGGAAGCAGAAATGGAGTCCCCACCAGACACTGAACCGGTTGGCACCTTCAGCTTGGACTTCCAGCCTTTAGAGCTGTGAGCAATGAACAGAAGCAGTTGGTGGTATTTTGCTGTCACGGCAGGAATGTTCTTACACAGATGCTGTGTCTCCATCATCCTGCCGTCACCTCTGAGAGAAGGATATGGCACCGATCCCTTGACCCTCCCCAGCACCGTTAGCAACGTTGAGCGCAACTCAAGGCTTACAAAGGTCACATGGATGTGGGTGACATTTAGCTTTCTGGATGCAGCTCTGGCTCTGTGGAAAAGGGCACTAGGTCTGGATCACGTAGACATTCCAATGAAGTGAGATGGGGTCACCATAGAGCCACCTCAGTGTCCAGGATGCAGGCCAGGAAGCTGCCCGCCCCTACACATCTCATGAGGAACGCCAGCCCGAGGAGCCTTGTTGTGACTTAATTTTCCTATTGTGTTACCTAATGGCATTTGTGTAACAAAATATGTGAACATAGTCCTTTACAAGTTCCTGCCAGGAAAATGCTGGCTTTAGCCAGGCAGAGTAGTGTACATCACATCTGTAATCCCAGCACTTAGAGGTAGAGAAAAGAGGATCAAGAGTTTGAGATCATCCTGGGAGACCCTGCCTCAAGGCTAGTATATAGCTCAGTAGTAAAGCACTTGCTTTACCTGCACAATGCCCTAGGTTCAATCCCCAGCACCAAACAAAGCTGTCTTACTGAAACACCCGCTGTACCTCCTTTTACTTAGAAGCCTGCTTTGCTTCCTTTTTTTTTTTTTTTTTTTTAAGTTCTTCTAGGGAGCTCATGAGAAGACTTGCTCAAATGAATTTCCATCTTCCCATCTTCGGAAGAACTGGAGGAATTAGCTCTGCCTTTCTTTGGATAGTGTTTGCAGATTCCAACGTTGTCTTTATTTTCTATTGTCACATATGTGTTATGAGAGGCTTGAAGACCTTTACTGCCAATAGGAGCAGTTAATACTTGGGATTTAGGTACAGAATGCTCAGGGCAAGGGGCTCAGCCTGCTCCAGAAGGCTGGCTGGCAGGAGGACATCTGAAAATGGCACCCGTTGAATGGACATGAATGTAAAGGATGGGCATGTGGCGGCCCAAACACCCCTGAGATCTGAGGTCTGGGCCAGGCCAGGGAAGGGCTGGCTCCCTCATGCTGGCCTCACTGGATCCTGGGAGCCTCCCCTGAGGGTAGTGATGAGCCAGGTGTGTGCAAGCAGCTGGGCAGCACGGGCTGGGAATGAGGACTGAGCAGAGGGGGTGCACTTTTGAAGGGGCCCCTGAGTCACATGGCATGCGGTGACCAGGGTGAAGAGAAGGGGCTGGCTCAGCGTGAAGAGTCCCAGGGGCCCCCACCTGTGTGAATTAGTGGGGGTGAGGCTCCAGTGCCGGGGGACGTCCCAGAGGAGACATTTAGTTGTTCTCTGCAGGGTGTAGAGTTTTATACACAAGGTACAGCTTGAGCTCCCAACTCTGAGAGCCAATCAGTCTACTTCCTGTGGCCAGCTTGACGTGGGGAGCCTTCTTAGTAGGTCATTGCTGACACTCGAGGGGTCCCCGGGGCCATAAGGGGGACCCCAGACTCGGAGCACTTCCTTCAAACATCTCTAGTCTTTCAGGAACCCACCCCGTGCCCTGCAGCCAGCTTGCTGTTTATCTGCTCCGGGGAGGTGGAGAGACTGACGACTTGGAGCCTGCTTGGCATGCTTGAGGCATGGATGGAGAGGGTAGGGGGCGGGAGGATTATGTTGGCGCCTGGTTTCTGGGGTTGAGCCCTCCATGACTGAGGCAGTCACGTCTGCTAGAAACCTAATCCTGGGGTGGTGTTTCCCGCCCCCTGTTCCTTTCCCTACAGTTCTCCTGGCAGTTTGGTCTCAGAGAGCTTCTCGGGTTCATCATGTGTTAGCCATGGTGGTGTCTCTGCTTCTGGAGTGCCGTGTTTAGGGATGAGACGGGAACGTGGGCAGGGCCGGGGAAGCTGACTCAGAGCTGGAGATGCACCCCAGAACATCTTTGCAGCCATCAACAATCAACAATTCAGCTCACCATGCTACTGAACTTCCGGGGTACACAGGCCTTGGACTTGGCCTCAGGGAACTCTGAAGCCCATAGGGGAGGCAGCAGCTGGAAGGCAGGCCAGGGCCTAACACACAGGAAGAGGAAGTCCATAACAGACATGCTGGGTGCGGGAGTGAGGCCACAGAGCAGCCCTCCAGAGCTCCCATTCCAGGTGGAGGCTGCCGGCACTGGGTTGCAAAGCTGACCGAGGCCCCGACTGCTGTGCCTGGGGCGGGCAGGGCTGGGGCATGGTGGGAGATAAACGCACATCCCAGGAGGTAAGGAGCAGATTTGCTAGCTGACAGAGAGCGCCAGGGCCACTCACCCGTGAAGCCAGGGCTGTGCGGCCCACAGATTCTCGTGGCTGGTGAAGTGGAGCTTGTGGGACGGCCCATGAAGAGGAGGCGGCTCTTTGCCCATCAGGGAGGAAGGAGGCTGAGGCCTCCTGGGCACCGGCGTCCACTCTGCTGGCAGAGGACACTGTACTGTTTCCTTTGTTTAGTTTTTCTCTCTGACTCCATCCTGTCAACAGCATCCTGGCCATTTGTTAATGAAGGAGAAACTGCTTATAAATGGGGCCAGGCTTTTCCAATGTTGATTTCCCTTAAATAATTTCCAGCTTTTTAATCCAATTCATCAGTCACTCTGGAGTGAGGGTTTAATGAAGCCCAAGAAAGGAGCTGGCAGTCATAATAAAAGCTGGAGGGAGGGCAGAGGCGGCGGCGATGGGAGGGAGCCGGCCGAGGCTGAGTCTCTCCAACAGCCTGAAGAGCCCGTGTCGGGTGTCGGATGGGCAGGAAGGGGTGAGCTTTCGGGGCTTCGAGCCCGGCCTCCCCCCAAGAGCTCTGCCCTCATTTTCCATTCTGCTCCACAGCGTACAGCCTTTCTGGCCTGCGGCACACCGACCGCCGGCTGTGCCAACGCCCCGAGCTCGCCTGCCCCCCCCCCCCCCCGTGGGTGCTGCAGAACAACTTGAGTGTGCGAGAGACGGGGAAGTGGGCCTGGGGGGCCACTTTCTCAGGACCCTGCTAATGTGGCATGGCCTGGGTGCTTACCACTGCGGACTTCTGAGCCACTTAGACAAGGGGCCATCCGTCACTGTCGCCGGACCCCAGGAAGGCACCTTCACAGCAGCTTCCCGTCCCACACAGGGGCCAAGTCCTCAGGGTCTCCTCTCCTGGAATGCCTTCCAGGGGCCGCAGGGGGCCAGCTCCCACGGGGTCCCCTGGGGAATCTGGCCAGCTCCCAAAGGCATGTCCCACTCGGTGGTAGATCTCAGGCACTGCCAGCCCCAGCTGGCCAGGCCTCGAGCCGGCAGCATTTGGGGCTCTGAGAAGCAGAGCTGCTGTCAAGAGCATGAAGACCCGGCCGAACAAGCGTGATGACTGCAGGGGAGTCCCAGTGTCTGGAGCCAGAGTCGGTGCCCGATGAGTCCCCTGGGAACTCAGGGGCCTGGGTGTCCCACAGCTGGACGGATCGGTGAGCGCAGCCCCACAGAGCTCACATGGTCCATTTCCATATTGCAATTCTGCATGAACCTGGGGACGGCGTGGTAGACAGGGAGCTTCCGGTCCATGCACCACATCCACGCCCGCTGTGTCCCCCATAATAAGTACATGTTTATAGAGTGAGTGGAGGCTGGGGGTGGGAGTTAGGAGGCCCAGGAACATGGCTCTGCATCCAGCCCTCAGCAGGATTTTGAGAAAATCATTTAGGGTCCTTGAGCATGGCTTTCTTATATAAAGCATTTTATAAAATAGACAAAAATAGCCAGTCACTGGGGCTCACGCCTAAAATCCTAGCTACTAAGGAGACTGAAATCTGAGGATCGAGATTCAAAGCCAGCCCAGGCAGGAAACTCTGTGAGACTCTTATCTCCAATAAACCACCAGAAAACCAGAAGTGGCGCTGTGGCTCAAGTGGTAGAGTGTTTGTCTTGAGCTAAAGAGCTGAGGGACAGTGCCCAGGCTGAGTTCAAGCTCCATGACCAACACACACACACACACACACACACACACACACACACACACACAAATAGTAGAATCTACACTCTCCACTGACAGGGAGCTCATCCCAGGACTGCAGGGAACCCCAAATGACAGATGTGACTTTTCCCTTAAGTCCACGCTTGTGACCTAGAAAAGGAATCATTGAACTAATTAATCATCATGTGAGAACTGCAATAAGTGACACCCCCCCCCCCCATGGTGCTCAGGAGTGACCTCAAGAGTCAGCCCGTCCCTGCCAGCGTCTCCGTCTGGAGCTTGAGCCCAGGCCACGTGAGGTTGAGATCATCTAGCCAGGAAAGTCCACTGACGCCAGCGGCTCCCACTGCCAAGCCCAGTTTTCCTCATCAGGACGACTGGTCCCTTCTTGTTGCAGGATTCACAAGGACACAAGGGCAGAGGACTCAAGTTCCAGCACAGGGGCAGTGAGTGAGACAATCAGCCTCACCTTTATAATCCACTTCATCAGCCGGCAGGCCAAGAAAGGAGCCGGAAGTCATCATACAAATCAGAAGGAGAGTGGGACAAGGCTATGGAAAGGTCTGAGATGGTCAGACAGCCGGCACAGGCCCTGGCAGGTGGGAGGAGGGTGAACTATCAGGGCTCCTGCTCAGCCCTTCCCCTGCCAGTTGTACCCTCAAAACACTTCTAGAATCTGCCTGTGACCACAGCTTTTGAGCATCACCATCCAACTCATCAAACTCCTGGAATAGAGGTTCTAGCAGCCAGCTCTGCTGAGCGGTGCCCATGTATGTGACAATCCCGCCTCCCCTCCCTGGGTCCAGCCTTCTGGGAGCTCCTTCCTCTGACTTCTTCAGTTCTGACTCCGTGATAGCTCACAGCTTTGGCTGTTTCGTGGACACTTAGAGTGACGGGCTAGCTCCTTAATGACCTTTGGGAGGCAGGAGGCTGTCCACGTGTAGCAAGAGCCTTTCTGTGTATAGCCTCCCCTGCCCTGCCTGACAGTGCAGAGGGGCTCCAGATGTCTCTGCTGCTGCTGCGCACAAGGCCCTTCTCAGTTCTCAACAATCCATCGAGAACCCAGCTGACCCTAGCACAGAGCCCGTGACGCGTCTGCGGGCCAGCTACCTCTCCCCGCTCCACCTGCCTACTAAGGCTTGATACAGCGTCTTTTGCCCTTGCTTGCTTGTGGCTGGCACTCTACCACTTGAGCCACACCTCCACTGCAGGCATTTTTCTAGTTAGTTGGAGGTAAGTCTCTTGCAGTTCTCTGCCCAAGCTGACACTGAACTGTCCTTCTCCCATTTCAGCTTCATGAGTAGTTAGAATTACAAGGCGGAAGCTGTTGGTGCCTGGCTTCCTTCTCGCCACTTTTAAACATATTGTTACGTGGCAAGTATCTCGGTGATTTCACTTTGATTCCACAGCCAACCATGCCAGGCCCTGGTCACGCCTCAAACCCTCGCCGCTTCCATTCGTTGTTCTGGAGGTTTCTCCGTCTACCTTTTCCTTCATGTGTTTTGTTTTTCTGAACAGAAACAAAAAAGTTCTGCTACTTACCATTTGATTTCTTATTGGAGTATCACTAAGAAACTGAAGGCCAGCTTGGCTATTTCCTTTCCTCCCTGTGTTTTACTATTTAGGTTTATCTCCTCTTTGGATGGCTACACAGCATCAAACACATTGAGCTCATGTCCTTCAAGAACAGGGTTTGAAAGTTCCCTTGTAATTTCTCTCAGCAGAGAGATGAATACTTGCTTTCAAAGGCATTGCTCTAATCCTCTTGGAACTCGGGCTATGTGGGAAGGCGCTGGTTCGAAT